TCGGATGTAGTCTTGACGTATTTTTTACGATGTAATAATTTAGGCGCAAATTCTCTTCTCTCTACGTGTGCTCTCAGTCAGAATATATTAATATATATCTGACAGAATATTGTTCATATTCCGAACAATATGTATGTTCCTTATGTGGGAGGGGCTTGATGTGGGCGGGGCTTGACGTCAAGCCCCGCCTTCCCGCAGGATGCAGCGGGATGCTTCTCCAGCACCTGCGCCACTAAGCCCGCCCATTCACAGACACTTCACTGTGATTGGCTGGTGAATTTGAACAACCAATGGCAAAATAGAACTCACATGATTGACACGCCACAGGTCGGTTAGATTACATGTGTAGGTTCAAATATTTTAAAACTTCTACATAAAAAAATTGGATTAATTGATCTATCAACTGTAAAATGAGTCCTTCTTAAAAAAATTGACATATATTCATTCTTTAAAGCAGCACACAATTTAATCATTTTAAAATGTTAGGTCGTATATCTTTTTTAATGCTACATGTCATTACACTGTCATAATTTTTCTTTGCTTTAATCATTTTTTTACAGGACTCTCTCTCTCTAGTGGCTGCCTCCTTAAAAAAATTCAAATTGAGCCAAAGTATCAACACTATCTCATTTTGAATTAGCCTTAACTTGCTTTGGCTTGGGAAATATCACAATGCTACAGCTATGACATACAGGCCCAATAGAACCAAATGCTACCGCTAATTAGCAAGTCGCTAACCGTCTTACGCAGTTTCCCTAAACTATTAAAATTACAGTACAAAATACAGGCATATACATCATATTAACCTTGTGCAGGTCACATAAAAGTATATCAGGACGTCCAAGGTAAAACTTACGTGCTCCCCACACCACCTTTCCTCCTGTTGCTCAGTCTCTAACTCTGAAATTGGCGCTCAGCTCTCCCCACACCACCTGCCCACTAAGCCCGCCCATTCACAGAGACTGCACTGTGATTGGCTGGTTAATTTGAACAACCAACGCCAAAAACGGGAATGACATGATTGACACGCAACAGGTTAGATTAGGCACGTAGATATATATTTGAAAACTTAATAAACGTCAATAACTTTTTGGAACTGTAAGTAATCTTTAGTCCACAGTTATTCAGTTAAGCAGCGCACTATTTCATCATTTTAAGAACTATCTTTTTTTTATGTAACATGTTTTTACACTGTCAGATTTGATTTATTCTCTTTTTTTATCATTCTTATACAGGGCTATTTATGTATCTGTCTATCTATCTGTTTATCTATCTATCTATCTATCTATCTATCTATCTATCTATCTATCTATCTATCTATCTATCTATCTATCTATCTATCTATCTATCTATCTATCTATCTATCTATCTATGCAGATTCTGTTTGTATTGTTAACTCTACTGATTTTTTAAAGGATAAATGGGGGGAGGGGGGATAGGGAGACTGATCTGCAGGACTCCCCCCTCTCCTCTGCTGACAGAGAACACATGGAGAGAGCAGAGAGCTGGAACTGGTCTTAAACACTCAGTCTTTGGTCATTCTGCTCCATCTTTAGCCTGAAGAGCTTCAGAACGGCAGCAGAAAGCTCGTTAGTGTCTGAAGACTGCAGGACTCAGATCTCTAGACCAACAAGAAGCTGGACCCTGGCTTTAATTCTAAAAAAGCTGTTTGTTCAGCCTGAGCAGCTCCTGGGGTCTTCAAAAAGATTTGAGGAAAGAGCGTTGGATTTTGTGAATAAATGTAAAATGAGTCTCTAAGTAATTCTGGCTTTAGTTTAAACACTCACATTCAATAGGTGACACCCACTGTCCTGGTATTCAAGAAATTAAATGAAAACGTCAAAGCTGTTCTTGGCTCGAATAAAATGATTAAACTTTATTGTTACAGACAGAGACAGACAAACAAAGGAGAAACATAAGTAAAGTTGACTTCCTCCAGTCATGCTGGCTCTGTCCTGAGGCAGGACAACGCCAGCGTCCTTCAGCTGGGCGTGTCCAGAGAGTACGGGTCTGTTTTCTGCTGGACCCTAACCCTAAGCCTGGAGCTCTTCAGGCTCCTCAAATCTCATTGGCTCATGTAGCACAGGGGCAGCAGGAGGTGGCTAACCGGTCCTGGTTGTGGTCCTGGTCCCGGTCCCGGTCCTGGTCCTGGTCCCGGTTCCGGTCCTGGTTGTGGTCCCGGTCCCGGTCCCGGTCC